GGGGTGAGTAGAAAATGAAGGCTAATCATGTTTTGGGTGTACTATTCCTTTAATGCTAGCCCCAAAAAAATAGCACATCAAAAGAAACGTGGGGATGTTTCACTTTAGTGAGATACTTTATGATGCTGAGATACTGTGAGACTAAAGATTGTCTTTGTCCAGTCGACAGATGTCCCTGTATCAGGAGCTCTAATCAGTGACCACATGGAACGCTGGAAAAAAATAAGACAAAAGTAAGTGCTCTATATTTTAGATTATCTAGATTTTGGGTTTTGTGTTGTTTCTTTCTTTTCTTTTTTTTTTTTTTTTTTTCAAGAAAGATTCATCCATATGTGAAAACTCACCTTAGTCCTCGATTCACTTAATAACTTTTTGAGTTTTGCTCTTGAGTTTTTTTTTTCTGTTTATTTGAAAGTAGCAGTGTTTTAAAATGTGATTTAAAAAAAAAAACAATAAATCATAAACTTCCCACTTCAAACTCCTTCTTTTAGTCTCAAGATCAGTAACAGTCTGAGTATTAACTCCCCAGCATGTATGGTCATTCTGAGAAGCAAGTGTCCTATCTTTGGCAATGCCATCACCATCGAAAAGTTAAAATCACAGACTACTGGCACATTACTAGCAATGTTGCTGTTTAGCAGCTTTTCTTTATCAGCAGTTTTTAATCATTCAAATTCAATATCAAACAAAAACTGAGCCTCTATCTCCAGAACATAAGCTTTCCTGGATTTAACAACAAAAGCAGACTCCTTTCAAGCTAGTCAAGCTCCCCCACACCAAACTACTTCCTGCCTGTATGGACCTTGCTTTGTGCACCGGTCCACAGTATAAGAGGCCACGTTTAAAGCTGTTCCTACAAAGTTGGCGGACTGGAATTATCTAAAGGCTCTTGTTATGCTGAAGCAGTCAAGAGTTTTTTTTTCACTGGAACTAAGATGGCAAGCCCAGCTCCAGACAAATCCCACAGCACATATTTTATGAAATAGGATGTACATATAAAAGAAAGCAGTGTTGTGTCGATGCTTATGGATATTTCCACCATCTTTACTCTAGCTGTCTGTAATAAGTGAGTATAGGAGGTCTGATTGAACCACAGAATAAAAGACAAAGGAAAACAAAGTTCAAAACACACAAATACATCAGGTTTATGTACCGATCGTTTTCTGCTTATCCAAGATCTGGTAAAGAAAGCAGTTATTTTAAGAAAAAAATGAGGCGTCACTGTCCACCTCTTTTTAGGGAACCTGAGTGTACCCGCCTACTCCCTTAAAGTTTTAAGTCCCTTAAAACTTGAAACAGTCTTAAAAAATAATTTATGAGTCAGATGAAGCCGATGCAAGGATCGTAGTCTGTGTAAGGTAAATAATATATGAGAAATAGGTTAGTAGAGTTTGCAGTAACTAGCACAGCCGCTAGTTAAAGACCTTTTCATTAAGCTGTTGATTTCATTTCCGTGTTCTCAAATTTGCTGGTTCACTCTGACGCCTTTAACGTCGTGTTTGAGAAACAAGTCGCTCACACATGAGGATCTTTTAAACAAAATAGTTTTCATGTGATGTCCACACATCATAAGTGACGAAGTTCCTTCATGGGAGAAAATCTAATTTTGAAAATTCTTCAGATTTTCCACAAAGCTCCTTTTTTTTCATAGTTATATAGTAACTGAAATCAGCAGAGGGGAAGAAAGGAGACTTAAATGCTAAACTCTGTTAGGCTAACCATTTTTTTTGTACTGTATCTTACACTTTAAACATGAATTACAGAATATTAGTTGTGACTTAACCTAAAGTAGGTTGAGAAAGGTTGGCTTTAAAGCCTGCTTGTTTCTGGTGAAACAAAAACCATGTCTATGAAAAACAATTAAATAAATCACAATAAACTTTTAAACAAATGTACATCATATGATACTGTTTTTTATTTAGATTATTTTTTCTTTCATTTAGATGGAAGGAGTGCTCCAATAAGAACCAGCTGAGGTACAGTGACAGCATCAAGGTTCTAAAGGAAATGAAGGAGCTGTATGACAACTGACTGCCTGCCTCACCGCTGCTCGCTGCTCAATGAAATCTCCAATGTGGGAAAGGAGCCATGGATTTAATGTTTTCATAACATACAGTCTGCAATGCAGCGCAGACAAGTAGAAAAGCAAAAACAGCAGCAGAACTTTGAACCTTATCAGAATTTATGCCCTTTAAATTACAGAAACTTGATTGTTCTATTTTCTCTCTTGAAGTGTGATGTAGTAGTTGAACATTTTGGTCAAACAAACTGTAAATGACTAAATGAATTACATTGAAGGTTGTATGTTTTTTTTTTCACAAACGCTCAAAAATACTTCCTAATAAATTCCAAAATGATTTAAGTCTATTGTGGTGTATTTCAAACAAATACAAAAATATCTTATTCATCCCCCCAAAAAATTATGCTGATAAAACTCATATTTTGGACTTTCTTGAACAAGTTATAGATATTAATGGCTATACGCACTTGGAGGAAGGAGATCCTGTCTGCCTCCGGTCTTTATTGCAGTGGGTCTGGAGAAACCTCTGACTAAAAAAAGTCAGAAGAAATGGATGCTAATTTTTGGAATATTGATTTAGTTTTTTATAAAATCAGTTTTAGAGGAGCTCCCAGGCTGGAGCTGCTGTTCTTTATTAGCTAGTCATTTTTTTCTGATTCTGCTACCCCAGTGGATTATATCAGAATAGAAAACTCTCCACAGCAGATATATAGAACATGCAGAATCTTGCTGCAAATGCTGAATGACCTAAGATTACAGTCCGCTCTTGTCCCTTATTGTGGATGACTTCACAGTTCCGTCTCCAGTTACTCTGTTGTCCAGGAACACTGGTATTTGCAGTATTATCAATTCCACTTCTCCTTCCATGATGGTAATAGTCTGAACTGTTCTTTATCTTGAATTTAAATTCAGGCTCAGATGATTTTAATCATACCATGCTACAAATTAGTTCCAGTTCCCCTTTCTTTACAACCAAAGACTTTCAAGAAATGGGTGCTTCTGTATATGACAAGAGTCAGTCTCACACTGGAACTTGGAGGTGTACTGAGTAAAAATGAATGGTGAGACCATTTACGCATAGAAATGGGTAAATAAGATTTCCCTTCAATCTCAAACTGTTTGTAATGAAGTCTTTGATCCAGGCGATTGTTGATGCCTCCATTAATCAGGTTAGTCATATTATCATGTTTGTTCCTAGTTGGATGTAATTCACTACCTCCAGAACAGGTGTGCTCAAGATCTACTCTCCTGCAAGTTTTTTGTTTGCACCCCAATGCACCCGAATCAAATAAGTGCCTCATTACCATAACTCTGCTAAGATAAATGAGGGGATTGCACCTTTAGATTCAGGTGTGTTAGAGGAGAGATGCATCTAAAAGTTACACAATGGCAGGTCTTGAGGACTGGACTTAAGCACCTCTGCACTACAACAAGCACTTCTCCTCTAAACCAGCAGGTGGCAGCAGTGAGATCATGTGGAATGTCTTACATTGACATTTAAAGGTAGTATGTTAACAAAAAACTGACAACAAAAATACAGCAATTAATGAATGACAACAATATACTACAAATAAAGAGGATTAACAGTCCTTAAAGAAATAGATCTGATGTGGGAGAGTTTGTCTATGCATTCAGTCTTTTATATAATTAAAAAGAATAACTACTCATTAAATATATTATGTAGAACCATACATTAAACAGCATCAATATATATATATAGATGTGTGTAGCTTTTTTTAGGGGGCTTTTTGGAAGCTATTAGAAAATTGGGTCCGTCCTTAGAGATTTGTTTGGAAAATATAGATGTTTTGAACATTCACTTTCCTGTTGTTTTGTTGTTCAATATACATTGATCCTAAACTGGTTTTGGCATGTTTTGGTTTTTGGCCGCTCTCCAGTCCATAATTGTCCCTGACTGACTACCCCTCTAAAAATGTTCAGGAACCACCACTTATTATTTTAGCCTTTGGAGAGAAATTTCTGTTAAACAAAACTTTGATCTTCACCCTGCGGAAAAAGCGTTCTTTTAAAAAGAATAGCAGAATCAAACAGGTATTACACAATGCAGCTAATGTGCAGTTCTACAGTTAGGTATTTTTAATGTATGTTTTATTGTTTTTTTTTTTTATTATCATTTTTTTAAACCATTTTCATTGTTTTATTTGTTCATTCTTTCAAATAGTTATTTTTGTCTTTTGTAGATTTTATGCTGGTGTTGGAAAAAGTGCCATTTCATTGTAGTTCTTGCAATAGAGTGTAATGACAAAATTACATCTCATGTTTAAAAAAAAAAGTGAAAGAAAAAAAAAAGATGGTTGATTAAATATTTAACAAATGCACGGGTGTTATGTAATGATTTTTATCTCTTGGAACTTTTTCTTCCCTTTCTGTTTAACATAAATGAGAAACAGCGAGTGGGGAATCCCCCCAAAAGCAAAGATTTGCATTCATTATCTTTAACAAAGCTGCTTTGGTATCAGTTAACGTTTCTTGAACCAATTGAATTGTTGAATTTTGGTTTTGATTTCTCTTAATTCTCACCAGTTTGTGTAAGCAAATGGTGCTGCTTATTGCCTCTTTGCAGTTTTTGTTTTTGTTTTGTTTTTTGCAATTTGGGTTCTCTTGTACTAACCTCACCAAAGGTATCTTTTATCTGTACTGTCGACTGCAAGGTAATGCAATGACTCTCTTGCAAAAGTTCTCTTACTCCACTTAAAGATGCTGTAAACATGTAATTTACTTTATTTCATAATTCAGTCAACCTCCAATGTGTTTCAGTTTAGTGCATGCATATTTAACCCTGAATATTCAACGCACATGTATAGTATTTGATCAGATTCTTCAGGTTGGATTGTCTAGCTTGAAAACAGGAAGTCGAGTACTAACCAGTGTGGTTTGCTGTAAGATAAAGACCTGTATAGCGTGTGCACACTGCCAATAAATTTGATCTGTAAAACGGAGGCTGTCATTGTTATAAATTGGTGAACAAAATTTATTTGATAAGTTCCAGTTAAGTTTTCCAGACAGATTTATCAAGTGTTTTATTCAGTATTTTCCTGTATGGGTAATTTTAATTAGATTTATTACAGAGTAGTCCTTCTATGGGAGTACTCATATATAAGTGTATTGTGTGTTATCTTTAAACAATTTGCTACCTTGGTTCTTAAAAGACAAACACGTGTTAAAAATAAACAGTTTGTGTGGCTTTCAATACAAAAAAAAAAAGAATAAAAAAGCTGCAATAGCTTTAAGTGTTAGGCTAAATAGTTTGTCCTGGAGTCCAGGAAGGTCCAGGGTCTTTCTGCATGAGTTTGCATGTACTCCCTGTGCATATGTGGGTTCTCTCCAGGTACTCTGGCATCCTCCCACAGTCCAAAAACATGATTATTAGGTTAATTGGCTAAATTGTCCTTAGTTGTGTGCGTTTTTGTGTGTGCATGGTTGGGTGTCTCTGTGTTGCCCTGCAATGGACTGATGACCTCTCTAGCATGTACCCTGCCTTTCTCTTTCCTTTAGTCCTTATCACCAACAATCTTCCTGATTTCTTCTTTAGTTGTAAGTCCATACTACTCAGTTTTTACTAGTTTTTTAAGCAAATAAATTAACGTAGATATACACGTTAACATGTGTCTGCACACATCTTCATTCATAGTTATTACCTGTTGCCATTGCAACCACAAAATGCATACACCTATGTACAGGGACTAAGGGTACCTTTTAATGTTAATTTTCCTTCTTTCATATTTTTTTTTAGGAAAAAAGGGTTTGAACCTCTTCCAAAACAGTCTTATGCTTGGACACTCCGTAGTTCCACGCCGCCTTAGTCATAATATGAAAATGTAAGAACAGTTTAGCTGTTGGATAACTTTTGATGCTGGAAAACAGCATCAAAATGCGTTCATAGCAGCATGTTTTTGCTTATGTTGTATATTTCTATAAGTCATTATGAAGTCAGCAACTTTTACCACCACTGAGTAACAGTCCACTTTCTCTTCTCCTTTGCTCAGCAAAGACTTGTCTAATGTGGTTTAGAAGTGGGGGAAGGCAAGAGTTGTGACAGTTGTACCCCATGATGTGGATATCTCTGTCTGGAGGCTCTAAAAGCACCGACTGTTGTCCCATTCAGCATTCTAAAAATCTTAAATTGAGTTTATTTCACAATTATCTCAAGTTTATCCCTACAAATCGTATTCTCATACCTGTCATTCTTCGACTCAACTTTACATTAAAGTTTTGGGATATAGTGCCCTATGCAACTTTCCTCTCATGCAAAAAATGTCCATGACTGTCTGCGTAAAACCTGTCGAGTCAGCAGTCTTCCCAAATATTGAGTCATAACATAGTATAACTCTATTAAAATTTTCTTGTTTTGGTTTATGGTTATATTCTAGATTTTCTGTACAACAGGATTTTGAATTTAAGTTTTCTTTACGCCATAATCTGTTCAGTAAATGCTTAAAACAGATCACAAATATATCGATTTAAATCTTTTAAGAGAAAGTTTTAATTGATGTAAAGCACCATATACCCTATTGTTGAAATGACTATATATTGTCATTTTATCTACCTTTTGTGAGTTATTGCACCTCAGTATAAAGTGGAATATTAATGATGGGAACTATGGATCTAGATCTGTCTCAGTTTTCACAAATACATCTATGTGTTTCATACATGCACAGGATGAGATCCACACATGTACAGAACAAGATTCACCAAAGTATTTCTGGTCCATAAACAATTATAAATTAAATTACAAAGTACCAGAAGTCTTTAAACTTCACTGCATTTGTGTGTGGATTTTTGAGACTCCCTTAATGTGCATCAACACACAAATGCGTTTTCTTAAACGGGATGGTTTGCAACCAATCATAAAGCTCCCTATAAGGAACATAATTGTTTAGTTGTATCATAGCCAAAAAGGAATGGAATGAATAGCATATTTTCTTTGCTTGTGTTTAACAGTCAGCACAGACCTTATTTTGCTCCTTTATATTTCTTCAATAGACACAATAGTGGCATGGCTTATGTTCTGTAATGCGAATGATGAAATCCATACTATTTCAAAGAATGCATTCTTTCTGTAATAGTCAAACAAAATTGAGAGGATTGTGGAATCGTATTTTTCCTTGGCCTATTTGTGAGATAAAATGTTTAAAGTGTGCCTTTTCTCTGCCTTAATAGGGGTGATTATTTAGAGGCCTTTTTCCATTCTTTATGTTGAGATGTGGGAAAAGGAAGGAGGTTTGAGAAGAAGTTTCCTCCCTAGTTTAGATAAGAAGGATCATAGATGAACATGTCCTCACTGTTTCTGGTTTTAATGGGAAACAGTTGTCTGAAATGTTTATCTGACTAAATTCATGTCTTTGATGAACTGAAGTGATTCTCTTGGGGAGACTCCATGTTCGTGTCTGAGAATTCTCTTTATATGCAGGGGTGGGCAGCTACCTCACCAGACCCACACTAACAGTTTCAGCTGTATGTGTTGTACTCCTCTGCAGAGTCAAATAAACCTTTTTTTTCCTTGCATATCAGCTCTCAGTGCTCACAGGAGTTATTTTTCAATCACACGTGCAGAATGTTATGTCTGCGAAGAGCTGCAACTTGAGTGTTGTGAATCTGATAAGGTGTACGTGTAGAAAAACCACATAGAAGTTTACAGGGTTCGTTTGTTACCTACTCCAACTGCTTTGGTTCCAAAAAAAAGAAAAAGAACTCTCAATGTCGTGTTTTTTGTTATATTTATAAGATAATAAATCAAAGCTAAAAGTGTAACAAAGACATTGTTTTCAGAATACTTTTATTAATTGCTGGAAATTCGAACAGTTGTGTTGAAAAGCCTCGTTTGAAACCTTTAGCGACGCAGCAGAGAAACATGGAAATACAGTCATTGTTAAATATGCAGGTACATGAGTGGGAAAAAAAGCCAGAGATATCCAATCTGTTTTTGAAGTAAATGAGTCATTACATACAAAGATTCACAGTATTTACAGTAATTTCATTGAAAGCTTAATATGTAGAATGAAATGCCACAGCACACCCACATAGGGTTTCAAGTTACATTTGTTAAATAAATCTGGAGGGAAGGGGTCTCTGTGATTTTATCAGACTTCCTGTTAAATATATCAAGATTTCTAGGTAACCACAGACAAAAACACCTGCACATTTTTTACACAAGTAAGGACAAACAAGCATTAATCCAAATAGATTCCTTCATTGTCTTTGCACAAATTTACAGTTTTTTTTTTAATCAAAACTTTGTCCAGAGCTCTTCAGTGCGGTTCATTCAACCTCTCGCTTTCAGTCATTTTGAGGCTGATTCCTCTGTGCTCCCTGAACTCCTTGTGTGGGTCCGTTTTTTTTCCATTAAGGTCATGGATGTCTTAGCGTCATCCTCACCAGTAGGGGTAGTAGAAACAGACTTTCTTGGAATCCACGATGATAAGGAGCGGGAGGATCCAACATATGACAGGTGGTCCTCTGCCAGGGCATTTTCTAGAACCAACCATATGGACTGCTTGAGCTTCTTCTGAAACTCGTCACACATGAAGACATAGAGGATGGGGTTTAGGCAGCTGTTCATGAAGGCCAGACATACAGTAAGAGGACCTCCAATTTGAACAAGTCTCATGAGAGAATCTAAGGGTTTTAACTCTATGAAGCTCAAAACATGGAAGGGAAACCAGCAAATAAAAAATGCAAAAATTATGGCGAAAATGATTCGCTGAGACCTCCGTTTGCTTGTCCTTTGAAGACGCCTGGCACGGATACCTATAGCCACGTAAGAGAAGAGTATCACAACGAATGGAACGAGGAAGCCCAAAGAAAAGCGGAATGTGTACAGACTCGTTTTTTGTTTCTCTGTAATATTGTAAGTGCAATAGGTGTTATTGCCTTCTTCTTTCACTGTACGTAAGAAAGCAGAAGGTGCGCTGCAGATCCCTGCAGCCAACCAGATGACAGCGCTCATGACTTGAGCTTTAAAGATGGTGCGCTTGTTTTGTGCCCACACCACCACCCAGATGGACAAGCAGCGATCCAGACTTATGACTGTCAGAAAAAAGACACTGGCAAACATGTTGACTACGCTCACAAAGCTGTTGAGCTTGCACATGAAGTTTCCAAAGGGCCAGTGGTGATCTTGATAGAGAGAGACAGCTGTAAAAATCAGGAAGGCTGTAAAGAGGAAGTCTGCCAGAGCCAGGTTAAAAAACCAAACAGAGTTGACAGTTTTCTTCATTTTGTAGCCTGTCACATAGATGACCAGACCATTACCTACGGTGCCAACCAAAATGATTGCACAGTAGATGACTAATGAGAAGGTTTTGATGTGCTTGACAATATTCAGTCCAGATGAATGAACTGAAGTCCCATTTCCATTACCTGATGAGTAAAAATAGAAATGGTTTAAGAAACATCAACCAAAATGCACAGGAGAAGAGACCTGGTTTTAAAAGAACCTAACAACATTTCTGATATTAAATATCTACTTTAATGAAAATTTAGCAAAGAATTAAATGAAATAAATAACTTGTATGTCTAAAGGCTCTTACCACTTTCCATTTTGCTTGAAGCTGAGTCTGCATTCACTCTGAACTGATCTAGTTGAGATCTGATCCCTGCTGTGTTGTTACTCCTCCTTCTCAGTTCACAAACCTGCCAATGAAACTGTACAGATGGGAGTAAACTAACTGAACAGCATATTCAGGTGTAAAAAAATATCTAATTTAGGATTGAAAATAGATCAGATTTTTGTTCTCTTATGTAATCTGATTACGATTAGTTTTATTTGGTTGACCAACATAACTGGGAAGGGGAAAGGACAATGTGGCATCCTTTGGCCTACTTTACCCTTATTACTGTAAATAAAACCTAATTAGTAAACAAAGTATAAATGAGAATAATTGCAAGTTTAGCACCCCAGAGAGGGACTTAAAGAGGAGGACACATTAAGAAGTCCCACATGCTGTTTGCAACAAACAAATGAGGAAGGAAGATGATGCTGATCAGATGAGACCAAGATTGACCTTCTGTCTAATGCTGTGCATTGTGAAGAAATTAACAGTAACCATACTATGAAACATGAAGGACACTTTTCTTTAGCAGCAATAACAAATAGTTTAGAGTTCATGGGAAGATGGGTGGAGCTTACTACAGGGAAATTCTGGCAAAACGATCCAGTTAAAAGTCTGAACATAAAAGGAGTCAAGACTCTAAAAACTGTTTTAACAGATCATCCAGTCAGCTGTTCTTGATCTATCTATCTAAACTCTAAAATTACACAATTGCAAGTAAGCATGTTGTTGCTACTTTGAAACTTTGCTGTAATACTTCCACTGGAGAGAGGTTCCAACCCTATCTGTGATGCAAAGCAGCCATTGAAATAGAATGAAAAGCAGCACTGTAAAAAGTGCGATATAAAAAGGAAGTTTTTACTATTTGTAAATAAATTCTCCTGCAGTTGGTACAGACTGACAGCTGAACCAACTCTCAACCAAATAATTCCATATTGGTCCTCCCCAAAGCTGTTTGATTAGTACATGTAGAATATTATGTATTACATTCTGTGGGGTGAATGAGAAAAAATAATTTGAGTGAAAAAAATTTACATAAATATATTTTAACTATGTGCAAATTATGTTTTACTAGTTTAGAACATCAGGTCACACCCTCCAAAAACCATTGCCAATGTTTTAGAGGATGCTTTCTAAAGTGTAATTTATGTTTTTGTAATGCAGATTTTACTTTGATTAAAAAAATACTTTACTGATCCCTAAGGGAAATAGACTTTGGTGTAACTAAGTTTTTTTTCTTCCATTAGTTGTTGTAGAATTTAATAGTAGTCAGAATAGTTATCGTTTTGCGGCAAAATGTCGAATCTGTAAACTCAGAGTTGTGCATTTTAATTTGTGAGGTCCTGACTCTGTTTAGTGTTCATTTGTATCAATAGATGCCGAATCAAACTGATCTGACAGTTAGGGTAGATGTAGATTCTCAAAGATTTGATTTATAAGGGCTTCACCACAGCAAAGCTTTAGTTTTACCCCAATAATTACAATTAGTTATGGCAAGACTGATAGATTCATGTTTAATTTTTTTCAAATGATTTTCTTTTCATATTCCCCTTCCCATAAAGTGAGTTAATACTGCACTCTGTTTGCATCGCCTTAGTTATACGATTTACCTGTACAGTGGCACTATATTGTCTGATGCCAACCCTTAGTGTCTCATGCTTAAGCCTACTTGAAAAACTTCTCTCTCTTAAAGCTAAACAATCTGGGTTGGTTCTGTATTTCACTTCCTGATTTCCATCCTTTTATTGTACCTACCTTTCAATTTCTATTTCAATTTCCAAAATTAAAGCCCACTCCACTGTAATAATGTGTTTCATAAATTCAATCGAGACATGATTATTTTATTAAAGGTATAGAGGATGATCTATACCTTTAATAAAATGGATAATCTAAATAAGTGGTCCTCCTAATTGTCAGTCATTCTGGTGATATGTTCACGTAAGGCCGTCCTACCTGCTTGTCCTGTTAGCTATCTTTTTCTGCGCATGTGCACTTTCGTGCATATATGTTTGGTGAGCTACGGTTTCAGACAGTCATTGAACCTCACCTTTCTCAAGGCGGTTCTTTGAGAATGGCTGAGGGTCATAAGAGAAAAAGTGTCTACAAAGTGTATGAGAAGAAAAGAAGGACCTCAGAAGAGGCAGATATATCCTGGAATGCTTTGTGTGGAGAGCTCTCCTCGCAAAGCATTATGGGAGTTGCTGTCACAATGGCCCACTGTGGCCATAGGCTGTCGCTACCTGACAACAGTGAATAATAAGATAGATGGTGCAGGTACGGCGCGTCGGAGGAGGAGTTACGTGACCAATGGGGAGCAAAAAGCAGTGATCATCTATCCGAATAATAAGTTAACTGAGTTTGCTATAAAGTCCACTATAGCCCCTACTCTACACAGTGATTGATGGATTTATGGGTTAGGGCAGACATTTGGGCACAGTAACCTTGTACGAACTATGAGAACAGCAACTTTCATACAGAGCATGCACAAGAAGAAATGGGCTTGTGCATGCTCTCGCACATGTTTAATAGGCATTCCCTCTTGGAAGTGGGTTTGGGGTTAAAAAGAAAATTGAAATACATATTCTGGGTGATTGGTATTTTATGATTAATTCAAAATAAGAATGTATAGAAATCCTTTTTCTTTAGAATTTTTTCGTAACTCCACCATTTCTTCTTCTTCTCCCCCCATTAAAAAAAAACTAATACTAAAAACACAATTTATTAACAGCATTTACAGTAGTAGATGGAAAAGCCTTTATTGACATTACAGCAATACAACTTACCAGCGGCAATATTGTTTTAGCTAATCTGTATTATTGACCCTCTTTGTTTGTTGAAATAAATATAATATCTAACAATTACATTTGGTTTATTTAACAGATCTCTTTCTTCCAAATTTCTCTTAGTTAATGACTTGACTTATGATAGCTAAATACATTTATGTTGCCTTACAGAAACCTGG